CGCCTTCGCCTTTTAGGTCATTTTACTTTATTTCTACTGAGATAATGCACCTGATTGCCATGCATCGACGTTGAATCTCATCAATGGTAGCATTTTCGAATGATAGGTCTTGGAGGGAAGTGGCCGAGTTCTGAAATAATAGCATTATGTCTAAGTCGGTAAGAGTTACAGTAAGAATATTAATTTTAGAATCTACCTTGTTAATGAACACGAAAGTGGTACCCATACATAGCAGGGCAAGAAGTACACCGGAAACTGAGAGAAGGAATAACATTCGTCGACCCATACGTTCGATCAAAGCTATTGGAATGAACGTTCCAAGACAGTTGACAGCTAAATTTTCGAATTTCAAACGTTCTCGCTGTCAAACCAACAAGAGTAAATTTGAAGAATAGCAAAATCTACCTGCGGTTCCAACAGAAATCCAAATTGTGGTATGATCATCTTTTACTCCTGAACTTCGAATAATATGACCAGTGTAGTACCTGAACAAAATGGTTAAGGTAGTGAGCTATTACAAGAATTTAAAGGAGAATTACATGATAGTGTTGATTCCAGAAAGTTGCTGGAAGCATTGTAGCATGCTACCAATGAAGAGAGCCTTTCGGACATGAGGTGTGCGAAGTATTCGCCATATGACTGAAAAACGAAATTTGAATTTAAGTATTTAAAAATAACTAGCTATACTTTAGTCACAGGTTGTAGTTGCTCTCAGAAAATTCGTTCGAGACATTGCAAAAAATTTACTGAAAAGTGGCCTGTGCGGAGCCAGCTATGTGTTTTTTTTTCTGTGAATTTAAACAAATGCTGATAAAATTTATTGCAGTAATTTGTTTTCTTGCAAATGGAGATGTGCGGCAGAAAAATCAAATATTAAAACGAGCGTGAATTGAACCAAATTGGGGTCATCCGTACAATTTTCAATGTACTAGTCTCCAGCGTACTTCATAGTGAGTTATCTTCCCATTTTAAAAAGCGTTGCGAAAAGAAAGTCAACTAGAAGGCGTTTCTTGGGAGAGGTCAAGTTGGAGCCGGTTTTGCAATTTTTTTACGAACCGATCGCGTTAACACTTCTTTCTTATTTCCATCATAATTGCACTTTTTTGTATTTGACAAGGTAATTGGGAGCAAATTCTCTTCATTTATCACCAGTTGAAGGACTACATCACATTGGGTATCTCTGAGCACTTCTAGCAAAGTAATTATGTACTTTTGAAGTTGATGTAAATAGATGAAGTTGGTTGCGTAGGCTTAATGCATACAGCGAATCTTAGCCATTCCATACCGTAATTTACGCATGTAAAAGTCCGTAGTACAGTGTATTAAATGAGACATTCGAAGCTCTCGTATCCCACGCAGTTTCAAGTGGGAAAAATTCGTTGCTGCTTACTTTTTCAAAAAATTACTCAACTCTTATTTCGCTGCTTTAAAAGAATGACTAAGAAGGTGATGTAAACATACCGGGACTGTCACTTTTGTTCTGTTTCTCTAATTCGTGTCCTTTTCTGATTTCATACATCTCGTATTTCACCCATTCTTCATCTCCATTGTAAATTCTCCTCAGCACCTAAGAAATTGAATTTTTTTTAGAGGGTAACACTGATTTATAATTGAGGATCTCACATCTTCTGTTTCAGTTCTTCTATTGTGTTCGAACAGCCATCTTGGGCTTTCAGGTAGGAAAAAGAAGGAAATCAGCTGGAATGCAGCTGGTATGGCTGCACAACCGAACATCAGCCTAAAGTAGACGAGGTGAACATTTATAAAAGCAGGGTATGAAAAAAAGGCGAGGAGAAGGGGGGAGAGGGAGGTGCTAACCTCCAACCGACGTTGACGGGATCAATATAGCTGAAACCTCCGCCAATTATGTTGGCCAACACAAGTCCAACAGTGATCATCAGCTGGAAACCGGTGACAAGACGTCCACGAATATGTGATGGAGATGCTTCACCAATATATAGAGGGACAATCATCGAAGCCAGACCTATAAAACTCATTTTTTAAAGAGAAAAATCTCCGATTTTGAATCTAAGAAAAATCACGTACCAATTGCTACACCAAGAATTCCTTGAGCGATCACAAGAGTGATTTTTTGCCATGATAACGCTGACAGTACGGATCCGATGATAAACAAGGCACTTGCTGCGATGATGGTCTTTTTGCGACCGAAATAATCTGATCCTCTAGCCGAAAGCAAGGCGCCAACGATTGCGAGGGCTAAA